GGCAGTTGAAGTGCACCAGGAGGCCCCAAGAAAGGTATGGAGACCTACTTCTGGAAAGTTCCAACCACTGGAAACCATTTCTACTCTGACATGCATAAGATCACTATGAGTTGGAATCAATCTAATGACAACTGGTTTGGTTTGGGGGGCCCTTAAATGATATATACCCTGTTGCATGAATGATGGCCACATCTTCACCATCCCTGCCAAGGTGTCCTGGGCTTGAGTTGATGATGTGTGACCATCCCCTTGGGTCTCAGCTTCCTGATCCATAAAATAAGGAGATGGAGACCTCAATCTGGGTCAAATGACTGGTTTCCAAAGTGGGATCCATAAAGTTAGCAGGAGAGGACACTGAGCTATTTCCAAAGTCAAATTCCAAGGCAGTCTGCTGTGTCCTGCAGTGGAGAACAGCAAGTCTCTAGTTTGGTGCTAGAATGAGAGCACCTCCTAGTGGTGGTTCTACATATGACCTGCCAATCAAACTTCTCTGGGGACAATTATCTTCATGGAGAAAAGTAACTAATGATGATTTCATAAGTACAGTTTGAGAAATTAAAGCTTTCAAAAATAGTGAATCCATGGCACAAACACATGGGAAATATTACAATGTGTTTGAATGCCTGTTTTATACAATCTCTACTATTGTAGTCTGACAGTGCTACTGTAGTGGCTTGTATGTTGTTGCAGTCAGAAGCGTTGCCACCAATATCTTTAATCCCATCGGGATCATCCATGATGGACAGGTTTCAGCAGAGCTTCCAGACTGACAGACGAGGGAAAAGTCTGCTGATCTACTTTCAAAGTGCAGACAATGAAAACCTCATGGATTACAACAGATTGGTGTCTGATACAGTGCTGGAAAAAGAGCCTAATATGGCCTGCCTATGGTACAGAGTGGAGTCCTGGGGTGGCGCTGTGGGTTAATGCACCAGACTGCAAAGCCGTTTGAATTGCAAGGTCAGCAGTTCAAGCTCACCAGCTGCACTTTGGAAACCCTATATAGGTCGCTATGGGTCAGAACCAACTTGATGGAACTTAACAATAACAACAACAATGTTATAGAGTTGGTTGGAGCCTCCGGTTGCATTGGCATGGACAGGTTGCCAGACAAATGCTGATATCTCTTGAAAGAGCCACTCCTCCAAGTGTGGAGGGTGTCTTTTCTATGCTCACACTGTGTCATTGTTTATTTTCTCAAGCACCCAGCTGCTGCAGTGATGATATTTATATCAATAAGTGCTCGATTCGTCGGCTGGTTTCAGGGGCTGCTTGCCAGCTGCAGATGGCAGCCAACCTCAGCGCACTTTGAAGCCTGATGTTTTTTGCATTTTGAGATTCAGTTATCCAAGGCTGTAGCCACATCTGGGACTGAAAGATCCTTCATTCACTTAGGACCCACCCTGGAAAGAGGAGATATAGCCTTGACCTATATCTCCCTCTATGTCCCAAAGTGTGGTGCTGTAGGATAAGCACTGGACTGCTCATTGCAAGGTTGTTGATTCAAACCCACCAGTTGTTCCTCAGAAGCCCTATACAGGGTTTGTATGAGTTGGAAGCAATTAACAACATAAGAACAACAATATCCCAAAGTAAGGGTCTCTGAAGCTCTTCCTCTGTGACTGAGCTCCAGTTTTATAAGGTGGAATGTTGGAGAAAGGGAACAGCAGACAGGAGTTCCGAGATGCCACTTCATGAGTTCATGAAGCAGAGTTCACCGTTTGACCTTCTCTGGCAAATGAATACTCTGCAGGAATCTTGGTTATATTGTTGTTACTGCTGTTAAGTGCTGTTGAGTCGGTTCCAACCCATGGTGACCCTTATAGTGTTTCTGAGGAGTAGCTGTGAGCTGGAACCACTTACCTTGTAGTTCAAATGGCTTTGCAGTCTGGCACATTAACCCACAGCACCACACGAGGACTCCCTTGGTTATATAAGGGGGATTCAAAAAGTTCAAGGAAAATTCCATCATCTTTTAATTCCCTTTTTCCATGAACTTTTTGAAGCCCTCTTATATGGGGAGCTCCATTTATTCTCAGTTTTTTCTGTTGCCAACCAATTTCCATTGTTCAAGTCCTAAACATTGGAGACAGCCTTGATTCCTCTTTTTATCTCACACCTCATATTAAATCTGTCCAGATATATTGTTGACTCTACCTTCTAGATGAGAGCATGGAGGCTCTGTAGGATATACATTGGACTGTGAACCACATGGTTGGCAGTTAGAACTTGCCCACTGCTCTGTGGTAAAAAGATGGCTTTCTGTTTCCCACAAAGAATGAAAGCCTCAGAAACCCTCTACAGAATGGATACAAGACGGTACCAACTCAACGGCAGTTAACAATACAACAACTTTCAAGATACACACAGAACTCCTCCTTGGAGCCAATACCACCTGTGGCCTAAAGTCTTGCAGTTGCCTCCTCTCTGGCTCTCTGGCCTGTCTACTTTTGCAATTAGTAACCACCACCCCTTCCCACATCAGCAGTCCACTCAGCACTGCAGACAGAGGGAGCCTTTTTTTTGTTAAAAGGTCAAATCATATCACAAACCTTTCAAAGACTCCCATGTCTTTCAAAATGAAATTCTAAGCTTGTCCTAGGCCCTCCAAGGTCTATGCCTCTGATCTCATTTTCTACTGACCTCTGAGCCCCACTTTCTGCTGCAGTCACAGCAGTCTCCTTGTTCCTCAAATTCACCAGTTTGCACCCCACCCTGAGCCCTGGTCCTCTCTGTTAGGAGCACTTCTCTGAGATAGTCACATGGTGCATTCTCTCACCCCCTTCAAGTCTTTGCTCAACCGTTACCTTCTCAATAAGGCTGACTCTGACCCTCTGTGAAAACTCCATCCTGTGCTCCAGCTCTAGCCTTCCCAGTCTTCATTACTCTGCCCTCTTCTTTTTCTTTTTCCTTAGCACTTGTCAGTTTCTAGCATATAACTAATTATATGCTAGATATAAATTAAAAAATACATTGTAGATTGTTGTCTCTCATATTTAGAACAGTTTGAGAGTTGAGGCTGTTTTTTTTTTTGTTTGTTTGTTTCATCTGTCTTGTTCATGTATGCATCCCAAGAACCTTGGACAGCTCCTGGCAAGTTAGCAGGTGCTCAACAAACGTGGGTTGAATGGATGAACCGAATCTCTCCTGAATGGTTCTCACTAAGCTAACCTGCTCCTCTCCCTGCCTACCCCTGCCTTCCCCTCCCTATTCTTCTTCTCTTCTTCCTGCCTCCCCATCTCAGACAATTCCACCCTGCACACCTGATTACCCAGACTAGAAACCTTGCCATCATCCATACCTTCTTCTCATTCACCTCCCACATCTGACTGCTCCCTACCCCTAATGGATAACACCTCTGGAAACATCTGCACCTCCAGTCCCAATTCTCCCACCTCCTGGCCACCTCCCCAGTGCTGATCATCACCTTTATTTTTGTACCTTCACAACATGCTCCTCCCCAATCTACTGGTTTCCCAGCTTTTCCTCCAGTCTCTCCTCGTCATTGGTTCCCAGACCCAGTTTCTAACAGGAAATCTGGGGCTGCTATATCACATCACAGCAAACACTCTCAGGATCTCTCCTCCCTGCACAGCAAGTGTTTTCTTCCTGAGCTCCTAGGGACTCCAGGGGTTCCACAAAGGCACCAGGAGTGACAGTCTCTCCCAGGGGTAACCACAAGGTATCAAAATCCCCAACCCCTAATGTCTGCAGCAACATAAGCAACTCTTGATTGTATCTGCTTCAGATAGTGGGTTTCATGGACGCTTTTATTTGAAGAAAGGACTCAGGTTGCTCAGAAAGTAAAAGCTTGGCATGCACTGTGCTACAGGACAGACCCTGGTACCTTAACCTGGCATATGTCCCTTGGCCAGCAGGTCCTGATGCATTATTTGGCCCTGCCACCATCTCCTCTTTATATGCCCAAGGCCCAGTCACTGTGAAACAGACGCTTGTCTGCAAGCAAGCCTGCACACACTCACCCCTCCTTGCTTTAGCCCTCACTGTTTCCTCCGCTCAGAATGCTTCTTCCCAGCTAGTTCATCCCGCTTTGCCCACGTCTCCTTCCTCAAGGCCAAAGTCACCTTCTTTTTGAAGTCTTCTCTCACCCTCTGGGCAGAATTAATTGCTCCTTGCTCCCGGCCAGCACAGCACTTGGCTGCTGACCTCTATTATAGCATTGCCTCACGAGGTTGGGACAATTTGCTCATCTGTCTCTAGCTAGACTGTGGCCTCCAGGAGGGCTGGGACTACGGTTTAGATCTATTCTGTTCTTTTTGGACAAGGCATGCACAAGGCCACGTTCACATAGCAGTGTGCTGGACGACTGTGGATTTCACAAAGCTGGAAGGTTAGCCTTGCCTCCATGACCCTGGAATGGCTTCAGGCCATGGTAGTGTGGCCTCCAGGAACTGTCCCATGTCTTGTGTCTTATGTCAGGACACCTGAGTATGAGGATGTGCTATAGGCACAGACATGGAGCTGTCGGACCCAGAGGAGCCAAGGCATGAAGTCTGCTGGGACATGAAGGCCAATGGAGAGGAAGACAAGACTGAATGTGGAGTCAATGTTCTGCTCCATACTCTGCCCATGAGGTTGCATAGCAGGGGAGACAGGGGGTTAGGGTTGATGGATGTGGCCAGCACCAGGTGTTCTTCAGTCTGGGCATGCTCAGAGTTGGGGAGATAGACTGTTGGCTCTGCAATCTCTGTGTGATTTGGAGCAAGACCCCAAGCAGTACCTGGGGAATGAGCAGGTGATTCTGGCCCTTAGAGGGAACTGGGCAGAACTTATAGATAGATAGGGCAGGCATGGATGCGATGTGGAGGGCCTGTGGCAGCAGGGCCTGGTGGACAGCAGAGTTGGCTGGCTTGGGGCTCACAGCTAGGTGGTCCCCACCAACATATAGAAACCAAAAGTGGCAGCTCTGCCAGAGCCCTCAAGGGCACGCCCTCCCCTGACTTGCCCAAACCCAGGGCAGTGTCCAGGGCTCCTCCTACCTGAGCAGTGTCCATCTCATTCAGCATCACCACAGAAGAGCAGTTATAATCGAACACCAGCCTCCAGAAGTCTGCCACAGTGTTAGGGAGAGGGTGCTGGGTGACCAGAAAGGCAGCGGGCTGCTTGTGGCTCTGACAAAGGAATAGCACTGGCTTGGTCAAATGCACATCATTCAGTGATGCTCTGAGGCTCCCAAAGGCTGCCAGAGCCTCTCCCTTCCCCCAGCCTGCCAAGCAGACTACACCAAGTACCTGCCCCGCCCTTATCTCTCAGTGCCTTTCTCATAATGGGCTCATTCTCCTCCAAACTAAGACATTTCATCAGGGAAGTGTCATTCGGGTGGGGATTATGCAAATAAATTATTTATGTCTTGGAACTCTGTAAATAATCATCATTAGAATATGAAATGAAAGAATCCACATGTAGATTAGCCTCTGTGCCAGCCTAGGCACCTCCTAGGATATGAAGGCTCATCTGAGTTATTGTGCCCACAGTACAGGTAGGCAGCAGCAGGCCCAGGTGAGGCCTTGGATTGCAGAGGGCTGGCTCCTGCCCCACGACTGGTATCAGGGCTTAGCTGGCATGGATGGCACCACATCTTGTGAGGTCACATGGGCAGTGAGATGTGCACACATTTTAGAGTCAGGCCAACCTGAGGTTGAAAAAAACCTTAGCTGTACCACTTGTAGCTATTGCATGCCTGCATCCATCCATTCATTCATTCAAGCATTATTTGTAAAGGGACTTTTTTTCTTTTTTTAAGCTAAGCACCAACAAGTTATTAGATCTCTCCAAAGTTCATGTTCTTTTTCTGTACCATAGGAATCAAAACAACCAAAAGATGGCTGTATTTACATGCAACAAAATTGGCAAGTAGGAGCCTGAATATGAGCTCACCAGGAGCTGGGAACAGACTGGGCTTAGTTCTCCATTCTCAGCCCCCAGCACTGCAGTCAGTACACAAGAATACTCAGCACATTCCCAACAAATATTGTATACATTCAGTCCCATTCTACAGATGGGCAAAGTGAGGCCCAGAAAAAGTGAGCTGTGTGAATCCAGACTACGTGTGAAACTTTGACTGACTTATCACACGACCTGAGAGGAGGCATTTAGACAGACTGGGAGCTGCTGTACTTCTTTAAGTGCTTTGTGAAACCCAAGTTTCACATGTTCTCAATAAGCTTTCTTTGGAGATAGATCCTATGGGACTCATGGCTGTTCCTGAATTACAGTCAGCAGGAAGATGGAAACAGAAAACAGGGATGGGGTTGAAAGAGAAGAGAGGCCTTTCTATCCAAAGCAAGAGGAGACCCTGGCAAAAGACATGCCAGTGACTGTCTTGGATGTCACTCATGCATTGGGGTCCTGTCCTTTGATGGCTGTCTCTTGGTCAATGAAAAGATCAGGAGAGGGCCTGGAGGGTAGACCATTTGGTTTCCATGAAAGCCAAACTCTCTACATGCAGAAAGCATAGTCATTCATCCATTTCCAGACAGGGAAAAGAAAAAAATCAACAGACTGGAGGTTCAGATCCTTAGTTCCAATCCTTTCTGAGCTAACTGACCTTAGGCAAATCGTGGATATACTCTGATCCTCAGTCCCTCCTCTGAGAATTTAGGATCATAATACCCCAATGAAAACTGAGACGGGTTAAGTCCAGGGCCTGACATGGTGTCCACCATTCAGTGACTGTTACTTTTCTGTCCTTTCTCCCTGTCTTCTGTGATAAATGCTCTATTAGACCAGCATGCCTGACAGAGCCTTATCTGAAAATATGTTTGAGATCTGTGCTCCTGCCGGGTTTCAGGGATCATCTGGCAATCCATTTCATGGATAACATCATCCTTTACCAGGGGAAACATTAAAAATTAACCCAGAGGACTTCATAGTTTTCTGCTAGGAGCAAAGCTGCTATGGTTACCAGATAATGCACAGACTGCGCTGGAATACAGATAAGGACTATTTATTTATTTATTTGTGTAAGAAAGGCAAAGGCCCCAATGATGGCTCACAGGAGAAATGCCCTGTGGACAAAGAGAATACAATCAGCATCAGAGCTTGGCAGAAGGTATTTGACTCCAGGCAGCATCTAACTGACTAAAAGTAAGGCACCTGTGTGATCCTTACTTGGCCATGGAAAGCAGGGAGGGGAAGTTGGGATAAGTAGGAGACAAAGCCTGGATATATTTCCAAACCCAATCTCTCCTCCCACTTCCACACATATCCACGCATACACACACACTTCACATTGACTTTGGGAATGGTCTGAGCTAAATCCAAAGTTCTCCCTGAACTCCAGCTATTTGATATGGCCAAAACAAGACTCCTAGTTTCTAGATCTAGTACCAGGGTTTTCATGGACATGGCTTGGACATCTAATGAGCAGAAGCCAGGGCAGAAACTTAAAGACCTGAAATAGGCACTGACCTTTGCTTCCATCCCTAACTTTCAACCTGAGGACTCCTGAAAAGAAAGGTCAGGAAGGTCAGAGATTATCGAGGTAGTTGACCTTGACCCCAGGTGAGAGACCCATGCTCCTGACTGTTCTGGAAGAGATGGAAGCTCCATGGGGACTGGATGGATATGACCTTAGACCTAGGTGGGTATACTTGGAAGGTCTCATTTCCCAAAAAGACAATGATGGCCTTAGTCCCGAGCCTCCAGAGGCAAGATGTCTGTGTCTTCTAGGTCAAAGAACAAGTGGAGATGGTCAGTGAGTAAATTCTAGAGTGTGGTTCAGGACTGCTGGCTTTTAGCTCTGCCACTAGCTTTCTGAGTGGTCTTGGGCAAGTCTCTTTCCCTCTCTGGCCTCATATCCTTTGCTGACCTAGATACAAACATCTCTATGTCCCTGAGGTAGAGACATACTAACTGAACATAGCTAGAGGACCCGGGGAGAAGCATGCCAGTCAGGAGGAGCATGGATCCTATAGAGCAGAGACACGACCTCTTAGCCACAATCAGCTCACGGTGGAAGGGTCTCTCTTACACAGATTCCATGTGAAGGGGAAGGAAATATTGCCCCTAACAGAGAAGTGAGGGCACAGCTAAGATTCACAGCCCCGTTGCTGTCTTCCATTTCCTGTCTGATCAGTAGCCATGGACTGAGCGCCTGCTAAGGCCAATCTTGTTCTTAACTTGAGTTATCTGGAAACGCCAAGGGTAGACCCTATGTCTGCACCATCTTTGTGTTCTCAGCATCCAGGTCAAGGCCTGATATGTCAGATGCTTCCTGAACTAAACCAAAGGGCACGAGTTGGCTCTGTGGGAGATGTGACGGGGGCTAGGCAGGCCTGTCATCTTACTGTGGTGTGAAGAGAGCTACGTTAGCCTTTGGTTTATTCTTTGCAGGCTCCTTTTGCAAGCAAAGGAGACAAGAGCTCATCTTGTATCTAGGTTTGGCCCAGGGTCTTTACAAGGAGCAAAGGCTCTTGGGAGCCAGCATGGAGAGGACAACAGAATCAAAACCGTGGAGAGGCTAGCTGGTGGGGGCAGTCAGGTCCCGGGCCTCAGTCTCCCTCTGTGTTGGAAAAGAAGCCTTCCCCTGGAATGTCAGCTAGGGAGGGTCCTCTGCTAGGATCTGCTTACATCCATCAGTGCTGCATTGATGTAGTTGCTGGATTCTCCATCCACTGAGATGAGGAAGGGCAGACAGCGGTCCAGGGGCAGGACATCCATGCTCCGATTCTTGTCATGGTTCCGGGGCAAGAGCCCGATGCTGCAGTCCTCAGGCCGGACACGTGGTGTCACAATGTTGAGAGTCTAGGGAACAAGGACAGAGAGAGAGGCACTACTCAGATGGCTGCTTCTGAACAGAGCCCATTGTCAAGTTCCAAGCTCCCTTATGTCTAACCTCTGATTTGGTCCCCTGGTCCCTAGCCCAGGACTCATGCCTTGATCTCACCTGTCTTCTCTGGTGATGGTCTACAATCACCTATGAACTGAGAGCTTCTGTCAGGGGCTGTGACAACTACAAGCTATCCAGGCAGTGGAGACAGCGTCTCTATAAACAAGCACATCCATCTCCTAATACCTGTATACCATTTGAGTCAAGTTATTCAACTCAATGCTGCATTGACATCTGGGTGTCCAGGAGGTCGTATGGTAGGTACTGGGGGTGAGGGATCACTTGAAGCATCACAGACCTTGGACAGTGGCTTTTGCCACCATTCCTCTCAGAGAGAAAGCTGTTTGAGGGTGGAAGGATGCTTGAATAAGCTTCTCAGAATAAGCTTCTCATGGGGCAAGCACTAGTGGTTCTCGAAATTCAGAGGTCTCACATTCTGTGGAGTCCTGGTGTGTCACTGTAGAATAAACACTGGAATACAAGGTTGGTTTGAACCACAAGGCCAGTGGTTCAAACTCAACAGTGGTATCTCAGAAACACTATACAGGGTCACTACGAGTCGGAACCCAGTTGATGGCACTAAACAATATATTCTATAGAACAAGCTTCCAAGACTGAAGACAAAAGTGAACTGTTGCAACCAATAGAAGAGATGCCATGTGCAGCCGCCAGGGGTCTTTGTCCTCCACCCTTCCCTCACTCAGCACTCTACCTCTACTCTACATCAACAGGCTATTTATTTGAAGAGACACTAAGGAATTGGGGTATCTGCCCATGCACTCATGGATCAAACATTGGCTTCTCATGCCTGGGCTTCCTTGCTTTCTCCTGATGGGTTCTTAGCTCCTGTTGCTCAGGTATGAGCATTGTACTGGTCTTATGACAAGGCGAGACTCTGGCTTTATCTTCCCTAGTGATTTATATCTAGGTCTCTCAGACCAAAGTTGTCACCAGTTTTGCCCTAGGGGCTCCAAGATATGGATCTGTCATGCCTGAGCTGTGCTCCAGGATGATGCTTCTCAAAGTTCAGTGCACACAAATCAATTTCCCCAAGATCATGTTTAACTGTAGACTCTCACTCAGATGGAACTCAAGATTCTGCACTTCCAATAAGCTCCTAGGCAATATCAGTGCTGCTGGGGTCTGGATCACACTGTGAACGATGAGATCCCAGGACACATCCCAATTGTGCAGAAGTACCATGAAAAGCCAAGCCCCTCCAAGGATGGAGAAGCATGCAAGTGTGTATACACTTGTCTCCAACTACAGCCTGGACTAGAATTAAATAAGACCTGAGTTCAAAAGCATATACGATCATTGTTAAAAACAAACTCCAGCCATCAATGAGTGATTGGTTAATAGTTGCTCAGGGCTGTGCATTTCATGTTCTGGAATTCATTCTGCAGTTGCCTCGAGCTGCAGACACCAAAAGTGCGTATATGTGTCGGTTCTCATGAAGAAGTTTCCACCAGTGCAGTGTGCTCTGTGCCTTTGGAGTGGGCTGGGATAGAGGCTGGGATTGCTCATACCTGAAATTCATCTTTGATTTGACTGGAGTTGGTCTGAGGGTCCAGTCTGCTGATATTGTAGTAGAGAGACCGAAACTCACACACAGGGATGGCAGTGTTGCCACACAGACATGCTTCCAGGATGGCATCATGCACAAACACATACTGCTCCTGCAAAGTCAAGGGAAGAGGGAAGAGGGTCCTGGGTAAGAAGAGTGATCTGGAAGCTTGTTGTCCATGCATATGCCCTGTCTGTGAAGGACTGGCATGATTTCTAGGGGTCAAGTTTCCATGTTTCATAGCAATCACCTGAGTTGTGAGTTTTGTCCCTTGGAGAAGATTGAATACGTAGTCACTGATAAAAATTGCAAACTATTGGGCATGTGGGGACAAGTACTATTGGTGTCCTGGTCATATGTGCTCAACTCTCACCTTCCCATGTTGTATACTGTGTGCTGCAAATACCAGAGAGTCTTTGCTGAGCACAGGGACACACTTGGGCTATGTGCAGGGACATCAGCAGCGCCAAAAGACTCAATGTCCCTGAAAGTATCCCTCAACCAATGACAGATGGTGAGATGGGGGATAAATATCTCAGCTCTCTCTCCCCTTAGGTGGGATAACTTGGAGGTACATGTTCCCTATAATCTCCTAGAATTCCCCATCAGGACTGAGCTCTGCCCATAGTGTGAAACAGCTTGATACTGCACCATTTCTGGATTTCCTTCCTTTCTCTGTCTCACTTCCCCACTCATGAGCCAAAATGTCTTGGGATTACCTCACAATTAAAATAACTGCATTTAAATCCTTGTCTCTGGAAGAACCTAAAACATATGCTGCACCACTTCCCATCTCAGATCTATGCACATGCTCTTGTCTTCCTCTAGAAACCACTGGACCTTTTCTGTGCTTTCAATGAATCATCCTCTCTGAAAAGTCTTCTCTAAATTCACCAGGTAGAAGTGGTTGCTTTACTCTTGATCATTGATAAATGTTTGTTGAGTGACTTTTTACTGTAGAACTTGACCCAACTCCCCCTATGGAAAATACATAACCAATATCCTCCTACTTTTGTCAGGTCTTAGCTCTCTAACTGGAGAGAGAGGTATCCAAGGATCTACCTCCCCCTTGCGGGGATGGGCTGTGCAGTTCTATCCTATAGTCCTATAGTCCAAGGATAGTATCTTTCTTGGAATCCCTATTGCTTAGCTTAGGGTTTAACATATACTAGGTACGTATTCCATTGCTGATAGAATCTATACTTGCAGTGGCTAGAACAATTCTTGACACAAATTAGGCACTCAATTAATTCCAGTCCTTCCTTTGCCATCTTTTTTTCTTCATCCAAGGCAGGAATACTATTCAAAGAATCCTTTAAATTTGCCATCCAGTCCCTGCCTGCAGGTCCTCAGAATGGGAAACTTACTATCTTTCATCATTGATGGACGTCCTTGCATCATAGGTCCTCGTGGTTGGCAGGGGCTTCCTAGATTTTATAGGTGGTATCAAAAGGAGCTCTGGTAGCGTAGTGGTTATGAATCGGGCTGCGAACCTTAAGGCCAGCAGTTCGAAACTACCAGCCGCTCCGCGGGAGAAAGATGAGGCATTCTGCTCCCGTAAAGATTTACAGCCTTGGAAACCCTGTACAGGGTCGCTATGGGTCGGATCTGACTCGACGGCACTTAACGACAACATCAAAATAGCAAGCCATGGATTCATCCCCTCCTACTTCTCCCATGCCCAGGTTCTTTCTCTCTCGTGCCCCCATTCATGGGTCTCTGATTCACCAGACTTCTCCTGGGCCAGGGCTGCAGGTGGCCCATTCAGGCCCCCAGGACTCACCTCTGTCTGCACCAGGTTGACCCTCTGGGCACGCAGCTCACGCACACAGTTGAAGATATCCACTACCCCTTCATTCTCAGCCATGTCAAGCATGGTGTCAATGGCAATGAAACAGCCGGTCCTTCCAGCTCCAGCACTGAAAGAGGAGGTGTGGTCAATGTTAGGAAACTTTGGAATGGCACCAACCCTGGGAATGGCACCTTACCTTTGGGGGCTACTTTTATCAGGGCTTATTTATTTTTATTTTATTTATATAACAAACACTCATTTAGCATCTACAATGTGCCACATATGGTTCTAAGTGCTTTCACGTAGGGGGTTATGCATTTGACTGCAAACTACAAGGTCAGCAGTTCAAGTTTACCAGGTGCTCTGTGAGAGAAAGATGAGGCTTTCTGCTCCTGTAAAGATTTACAGCCTTGGAAACCTTATACATACATGGCCACTATGAGTCAGAATGCACTTGGTGGCACACAACCACCACCAACCACCACCAACCACTGAATGAGGTTGTTATGAGATTTCCCATCCCATTTTACAGATGAGAAAACTGTGGGACAGAGAGCTTACCCTGCTCAAGGTCACCCAGATGGTAAGTGGCAGAGCTGTAACTTTTCCCCAGGCAGTCTAGTTCCAGAATCTGTCCTCTGAACCACTTTCTCAGTAATATTTGTAGTACACAATACATGCATAGACAATATTATGTATGTGGTTTCCTTGTTTGCTGGATAAAGATAATCTGCCTATATAGTATAAAGCATATATAAACACACTGTTTAATTAGTATAATAGCATGGTAGATGCTTGTAAACATGTCTCCTCTCTCTCTTTCCTCTCTCATTTCATCTTCAGCAAATGGATTGATGAATGGAAGCAAGGTAGAATAGACAAGAAAGAGAACTGAGAAGGGGTGAGTGAGAGCACAGAAACCAGAGGTCTCTGACCTGCCTCAGCCCTGCCTGCCTGGGAACCCACAGTCTTCATTAGAATCAGGAGATGAGACCATTATAGAGATGACAAACCAAGGCTTCAAGGAGTGAGCTAGGTAAAAAGAACCCTATGAAAGAAGCATTGTGTGCGTGTGAGAGAACTGAGGCTCACAGAGACCAAGCAACTATTGACTTGTAGAAACACAATACTGGAGTGCCCTGTTGCAAGCCTGGAATTGGCTCTACCTGCACCTGCTTCCCTGGGGTCATGAATGAAGAGCATCCATGACACTGGAACAACAATGGAAGGCCCCAAAACTCCTGATTCAGATTCTGTTGCTGATCAATGCTGGTCTCCTTTTGGAGACTCTCAGGCTAAGTACAAAATAGCAAAGAATCCAATGAGACTCCATGGACCACAGCCAGGCCTTCCAAGATTAGTGCTGAGTTCTCAATCCACAGTGCTGAACCAGACACAAATAGAACATTTGTCTTAACAGTTTTAGAAATGAAGGCCAGGAAGACTGTCGAGCAGTCTCACTTTGGCTGTGTGTTCACATCTTGTTCTCCTCCCAGAAACAAGTGTCTATGTCTGTCAATGTGGAAATCAAAGGAAATGAAGAGAAGATAAACGATGGGGATTGGAAGGAAATGCCATGTTGGCTGATTAAAAATTCAAGTGTAAGTCAGTGGGGACAACCACCCACCATGGTCTGGAAAATAAAACCCTGGGAACCCATCTGCTATTATCTGGAAAGTAAACCCATGGAGACCTGTCCACAATGGCCTGGACCATAAACTCATGGAAATGTATTCATAGTGATCTGGAAAAGTACCCATGGAACTCCTACGCAATGGCCTGGAAAGTAAATCCTTGAAACCTATTCACAATGGTCTGAAAATAAAACCATGGAAACTCATCTACAATGTTCTAGAAAGTAAACCCTTAAAACCCATCCACTATGATCTGGAAAATAAACTAATGGAGACTCATTCACTATTAGAAAGTAAGTCAGTGGGAGGCAAAATTTTCATTCAGGGTAAAATTTCACAGCTTGAACTGAGTGGAGCCATGAATTGAATTGAATAATTTGTGCAATTATTTGCCTCAAATTACCTCCTTCCACCTTAACCAGAACCCCAAAATGACTCAGTACATGAGGCCTCAGCGACTAATAGGGAAGACAAAGAATCACTCATTCTTCCCTTCTTCCAAGTCTCATCTTTTATACACTTTAGGGAAAGAATCAACTGACTTGGTTCTGAATCTTGGGTCCACCACCAGTAAATATGTTTTCTCACATGTACAAGTATAATATCTCTCCCTTTTTGTGTGGAATGAGCTCTATGATACTATATTTCTCTATCGTATAGTAATTGAGCATATGCCTTTTGGGGTCAGACTTCCTGAGATCAAATCTTGATTCAACCACTTACTAGCAGTATAACCTTGAGTAAACAATTTAACCTCTCTTTGTTTTAATACAAGCATCTATAAAATGATGCTGATAATAATAAAGTTACTTTATATCATTATTGGCACATTACATGGAAGTTTCATGAAATTATGTTTTAAAGCATAAGGCATGTAAATTGCTTAGCCCACTGGTGCCTGAAGACATAGAAAATTCTCAATGAATGGTTGCCTTTATATTCCATAAATATTTATTGAGTGCCTATTATGCATTATATGTTGGGACTGGGAGTGAAAATATGAAGATGAGTAAGTCACGGTCCCTGTGATGAAGGATTAACAGTCCAGGGAATGGGGCAACATTAGGGGGAAGTGAATAATAATAGTTTAAGTGCTTACTATATGTCTAGTAACAGAACATGGGAACACTGAATAGTTTAAAATTAAGAAAGGTGTGCGACAGGGTTGTATTCTTTTACCATACTTATTCAACCTGTATGTTGAGCAAATAATCTGAGAAGCTGGGTTATATGAAGAAAAATGTGGCATCAGGATTGGAGGCAGACTCATTAACAACCTGTGATATGCAGATGATACAACCTTGTTTGCTGAAAGTGAAGAGGACTTAAAATATTTACTGATGAAGATCAAAGACCACAGCCTTCAGTATGCATTGCATTTCAATGTAAAGAAAACAAAAATCCTCACCACTGGACCAACAAACAACATTCTTATCAAGGAGAAAAGATTGAAGATGTCAAGGACTTCATTCTTCTTGGGTCAACTATCAGCACTCATGGAAGCAGCAGTCAAGAAATCAAAGGACATATTGCATTAGGCAAATCTGCTGCACAAGACCTTTTTAAAGTGTTGAAGAACAAAGATGTCAGCTTGAGGACTAAGGTGCGCCTGTCCCAAGCCATGGGCATTTTCAATAATCTCATATACATGTGAACTGGACAGTGGAAGACAGTAGAAGTATTGATGCCTTTGAGTTCTGGTGTTGGAGGAGAATATTGAAAGTGCCATGGGCTGCCAAAAGAACCAACAGATCTGTGTTGAAAGAAGTACAGCCAGAGTGCTCCTTGGAGGCCAGGATAGCCAAACATCGTCTCTCATACTTCGGACAAATTGTCAGGAGGGACCAGTTGCTGGAGAAGTATATCATGTTTGGTAAGGTGGAGGGTCAGAGAAAAACAGGATGACCCCCAGCAACATGGATTGGCAAAGTGGCAGCATCAATGGGCTCAAGCATGGCAACAATTTTGACTTTGGCCCAGGATCAGGCAGTGTTTCGTTCTGTTGTGCATAAGGTCGCTATGAGTCAGTACTGACTCGGTGCCACCTAACAACAACAAAAAATATGTCTAGAATTTTCTTTAGCACTTAGTACATGTTAATCAACCTGTTTAATCTTCAGAATAGTCCCAGGAGTGGGTACCACTTTCCCCAGGGGCATTAAAGTGACTTAGGATGGTGATACAGATGTAGAGCTATCATGGTAAGGCACATGACAAAGCATGGGGATTGATCAATGTTTGCCATTGTCTTGATTTCTTCTTTACCAGGTTTAGGATGGAGTCCTGGGGTGGTGCTGTGGGTTAATGTGCTGGACTGTCAAGTCGTTTGAACAGCAAGGTTGGTGGTTCAAACTTACCAGCCACTCCTTGAAAACCCTATACAGGATCACCAGGGGTCAGAACCAACTCGACGGCACTTAACAACAACAACAACAGGCTCTGGATGTTCTCTGAGAGATATGACTTGAGGGTTAACGTTCTATTGTCTTTGGATTGTTGTGAGATGGAAAGCAGAGGATACATGCCAAGAACATGGAGAGCTCAAGAAGTGTAGTGATGGTTTCCTCTTAATCCTCCATTGTCTCATCTGCAAAATGGGGATTCTAATCTCACCTCCTTGTAGTGGGAGGATAAGTGAAATGCTGAGTGTGAAAGTCTCTGGAGTCTTTCCTATCCCCTTAGCTGATATGGACTTGAAGTCTCTCTTAGTCCCTAGGTTGATGTGGACATGAAGTCTCTGGAATCTCTTCTATCCCCTTGGTTGATGTGGACTTGGCAGGGCAGGCAGAAAATGACTTATGCATGCAGAGTCTAGATAGTTGACCCTCTCAAGATCACCTTGGAAATGAAATGAAAACATTGGCATGTAGGAGAGCCATTCCAGGTCTGGATGTCCAACCACCTCCAGTGCCTCATGCCCTTGACACGATATTTCATCTCTGTTGAGGAGAATTCAAAGACGTGCCACTCATCCCTAATGTGACTTTCTAAGTCAGAGCTGAAAATCTCTCGCCTCCATAATAAAGTGAAACTTGAAATTGTCCATTTACTCTCAATAAGGACCCTGCAGGCCAGCAATTGATTTTTAAATAATAGAAATGAAGAGAAGCGCGTTTCAACCGAGGCATCCCACTGACACATCAAGGAGCCCAGGGACAGCATCTGGAAAAAGGCATGTAATGACACTGCCTCTGCCATCTCAGACCTTCATGGCCCCGCAAAGGATCTGTCTTCTCACTACTTTAGCTTTCTCATCTGTACAATGGGAATAACCATAAGGCCCACCTCTCAAGATTGGGTGAGAAGTCAATGACATTCAAGTAGGAGAAGTGTCCGTGGTAGCAGTACGAGACATGTCAGTACCCAGCCCCTGTCCTGTGGGTCTATAATTTCAGGGCACAAGGTACAATGAGTGACTGCTACTATCATTACTGTTCTTACTGTTTTGAGGTATTTGGGACCTTGATCTCATTAGGAGGGTAGTCCTAGAGGCTCTGGTAGCGTAGTGGTTACAAATCGGGCTGCTAACCTGAAGGTCGGCAGTTCGAAACTACCAGCGGTTCTACAAGAAAAAGATGAAGTGTTCTGCTCCCACAAATATTGACAGCCTTGGAAACCCTGTGCAGGGTCACTATGAGTCGGAACTGACTCCATGGTACTTAATAACAACAGAGGTGTGGGAGCCTTTAAGACAAAGAATCAAAGTCACGGGATAGTAGTCTCCCCCTCACTGAGGGAGCAGGGCTGCAGAGGGACGTTCTGTGGGGAGGAGGAGCTTTAGCTTACCTGCAGTGAACCACTATGGGCCCAGCTTCAGGAGGGTTGAGGAACTTGACCTGTCGGACAAAGCCCAGAAGACCGGTGGCATAGCAGGGGACACCATGGTCAGGCCAGCTGGTGAAATGGAAGAGGCGAAGCTCTCGGATCTCATGGTAGCCTTTCTGAAGAGAGAATGAGCCTCTGTTCAAGCAATTGCTAACCCCACACCACACCCACATGGGGAGCCACCCTGCTGTTCAGGGAGGACTGGGTCCTTATAAGGTTGATGGGTGGTGCAGGACAGATTGATTCTGTGACCTGAGAAGTGTGGAGTTACAGGAGGTGAGACATCAGTTAGTTCAGGACTACTCAGTGCATTTAGTGAGCTACTGTACATTCTGAATTCTCACCAGGGCAATCTGATGTCCACAGTGTTTCCTAAACCTATCTGTCCAGGGGATGCCCTTTTGACAAGTGTTTCATGGGACTTGTATCCAGTTGAACAGAACAACAGAAATGTTGGCCTTACTAACCAAGTTCAACTTGTGGACTAAGAGACCTTCTGCTGAATGAAACTGGGTACCCTCTAGTTTTCCAGCCTTGTCTATGATAGTGCCATGGCTCTCAAACTTTTAATGAAGGTACACAATGCCTCTCTAGATCAGAGGGGTCCGATGGTACAATCTCTGCTCCAGGGTCCCCGGGGGTCAGGCTGAAGCAAGTCTCCAGCAGATACCACCTGCTTGCTCAGCTTCTTCCCCTGCCCTGTTGCCCTCCCTCCCCATCTATGTCAACACAAGGGCACCATGTCCTTGCCTCAGGCTCTGCTTCATGGGAGCTGGGACTCAGATAAGGGCAAGACCAGAGACAGAGAGCCCTGCTGAGAAAGAGTAAAGGCCGGGGGTAAAGCAGTGATGGAGAAGCTGGAGTGGGAGTGGAGAAAACAGCTTCACAAATCCTTAGACCATTCCACTCCATCCTCCAGCTCAGCTCAGCTCAGCTCTTGTTAGTCTTCACCACCTGTGCGCAGTGTCTCCCTATCAAGGATTCTCTCTCCTGGAGGGGACTGAGCTTTCTTCAAGGACAGACAATGGGCTCTGTTTATTGCAGGGTTCTCAGCTCCGGCACCAATTCTGAGATAGTAACTCAAGAAGTGTTTGCATAGTGTCTGCCTGAGTGTCTGAGGAGAAGCTGGCTAAGTCAAGTTAATCCTCAGAGGCCATGGAGTCTTCTCAGGACACCTCCCAATGGGCTGCATCTTCTTTTGTGATGGTTTATAAGAAAACCAAAAAGATTCCCAAGGAGACAAGAACTCTTCAGCATGCTGCAATTCTCAGAGCCTTCCTAGACCAGGGTCTAGGTCACCATTTCCCCGGTCATTGACCTTGTTTCCATGTACTGACCACATACATATATGATGGATGCACTTGGTGTTATCTGGTCCCAGGTAACTTGGTGTTATCTGGCACCCAGACCCTCTTTACTGGGCTGTTGCCCCCAGGCCCCAGCTGTGAGTGTGTTGACTGCTAGCAGCCCACAGCTGCCCTTTTCTGGCAGGAGCTTTCCCAATCTGGAGGTTACCCTAAACCCTTGTTGTTGTTAAGTGCCACAGCAACCTTGTATAGGGTTTCCAAGGAGCAGCTGGTGAGCTTGAACCACCGACCTTGCAGTTCAAATGACTTTGCAGTCTGGCACATTAACCCATAGCACCACACCAGGACTCCACCCTTAACTCTAGGGTAACCCAGAATCAATGGACTGATTGATAAAGGACCCAGAGTCTGTCTGCCTTACCTCTGCAGTGGTTTGCCAGCGAGCCCCTGGGAATCTTTGCCTAAGACTATGTCCTTCTTCTCAGCCCCTTCTCATCCCTTCCTTACAAGTTTCTCTGGTGAGCCCTCTCTCCACACTTCAGATGCACAGAATCCTTGCCTCAGGCTTTGCTTCTAAGGAAGCTGACCAAAGGCAACACCCAGACACCTGATTGTCCAGGTGGAGAAACTGCAATCTGTTCTTTTCTTTCTTTGGAATGCAGAGCCCGCTGACCTCTTGGCTTCTCCTCTTCAGTCTGCAGACTCAGGCTTCACAGGCCTTAGGGGAAGGGGATCACAGGAGAGGAGGTGCACTAGGGGGAGGGAACAGGAGTTCCCAGGAACTAACAATCAACAGGATGTCCAAACCTCAAGGGCACAGCTCCCAAAGCATTGACATTCCTAGGGATTTTGCATATTCAGACTTGTGGCTAGGTGGTCCCTTACTGGGGATGCTTTTAGAAAATAGCAAGTCTCAGTGAGGTGCTGTAGTGCTAGCTCTGGAGTGCTAACCACAAGGTCCACAATTTGAAACTACCAATCACTCCTTGGAAACCCTATATATGGTTGCTATGGATCAGAGCTTACTAGAAGGCACTTAACTGATTAACTTTGGTGTTGTGGGAGGAATGAGCTTGGAGTCAGAGGCTATAATGTGAGAGCTTCTAGCTAGACAACCTTGGACAAGTGACTTAACCTCTCTTGACTGAATTTCTTCCTTTATAAAATGGGAGTAGTAATAGTACCTAACGAATCCTGATGTGGCGCTGTGGGTTAATGTGCTGAAAGTCAGTTTGAATGGCAAGGTCAGCGGTTTTAAGCTCACCAGCCATTCCTCAGAAACCCTATACAGGGTCACTATGAGTCAGAACCACCAAACAACAATAGTACCTACTTCATGGGGTTGTTAGGAGGACTCCATGAGTCAGTTTAGGCAAGGCATTTTAAAAAGCACCTAGTTGAGTAAGTGCTCAATAAATATTAGTTCCAGAACTGAGAGCTACAAGGTCAATGGTTCGAGCCCAACAACTGCTTCGAGCCCAACAACTGGAGAAAGGTGAGGCTTCATGCTCCTGACAAGATGTACAGCCTCAGAAACCCTATACAGGGTCACAGTGAGTCAGAACTGGCTCTATGACTCTTAACAAACAACAATTGTTACCAAAAAGGAGCCCAGATGGTTCAGTGGTTAAAGCTTTGTGCTACTAACCAGAAGGTTGGCAGTTCAGACCCAGCAGCCACTCTGTGGGCATGAAAGGCTGTGGCAGTCTGCTTCCCTGAAGATTTACAGACATGGAAACCCTACGGGGCAATTCTAATTTGCTGTACAAGGTCACTATGAGCTGGAATTGACTCAGCAGGCAGCAGTGATTTGGTTTTTTGAAATGATTACAATAAAAGAAGCCCTAGAGGTGTGGTAAGGAGTTCTGATAGCATAGTGGTTACGAATCGGGCTGTGAATCGCAAGGTCAGCAGTTCGAAACTACCAGCTGTTCCGCAGGAGAAAGATGAGGCTTTCTGCTCCCGTAAAGATTTACAGCCTCAGAAACCCTGTACAAGGTTGCTATGAGTTGGAACTGACTCCACAGCACTTAACAACAATAGAGGTGTGGTGCTGTAGGATAAGCACTGTACTACTAACCACAAGGTCCAAGGTCGGCATTTCAAACCCATCCACTGCTCCTTGGACTGGATGGCACTTAACAACAAGTAGTGCAATCGTTCAGCACTTAGCTGCCAACCAAAGGTTTGGTGGTTTGAAGCTACCCAGGAGCTCTGTGGGAGAAAGGTCTGGCGTGCTCCCCCCATAATTACAACCTAGAAAACCCTGTGGGGCAGTTCTGCTCTGTCACATGAGGTTGCTAGCAGTCAAAATCTACTTGATGACACCTGAGAACAATGACAACAGTATGGTGATAGGAATTATATAGTAACAATAATTGTTGTTGTTAAGTGCTGCAAGTGGATTCCAACCCTTAGTGACCCTGTATAGGATTTCCAAAGAGCAGCTGGTGAGCTTGAACCACACCACCTTACAGTTCAAACCAACTTTGTAGTCCAGCACACTAGCCCACAGCGCCTCACCAGGACTCCTTAGATAATAATCAATTATAAATGTAACAGTGCTGCTTCTATGCAATGTCCTTCTTGCTCATCAAGTTCCTACCACCCTGGCCTCCATTCAACGCCTTGAATGGTGTTTTTCAACCTCTTAAGTATTGACATTTGAACCAGATAATTCTTTATTGTGTGAGGCTTTCTGGTGCATTGAAGGGTGTTTAGTAGCATCTCTGGTCTCTGTTTACTAGATTAGATGTGAGTAGCTCCTCATCCTCCAAGTTGTGATAATCAAAAAATCCCCAGACATTGCCAAACATCACCAGGGAGACAAAATCACCCCATTGGCCTAGAACACGTGGAGATCTTTTTTCCCTTCCAGATTTTAGCATGTTTCTTCCTCCCTGCCTGGGAAAAGAACCCAGGCAGCCACTCTTTCCTGGTCTGCCTTTTTCTCCTCCTGGTGTGGCACTGTCAGTTTGAACTGCAAGGTCGGAGGGTCAGGCTCACCAGCTGCTCCTTGGAAACCCTACACAGGATCGCTAGGCGTCGGAAATGACTCCATGGCACCTGACAACAAACAACAACTCTTTCCCTGTCTGCCTTTTTCTTCTCCCCCCTCAGGAGGTCCTTTCTGCATGTCCATCCTTCCGTGGACTTCCTTTGATAACACTGACCACAGCATGTAATCGTTGAAGACTTGTTTGCTAAATTCTGTTTTTCCTCCCACTAGATAGGAGTGAGAGCCATTGGAGAGGACCCAGGTCTGACCCGATTGCTGCTCAGTCCCAAAGCCAGTTAGTGTTTTCAGCTGACAGCGAGCCAGTGAAAGCAGAGTGGTCAGGAACAGGTGTTATTAAACGGTAGTAATGATTATGAATTGGGCTGTGAACCACAAGGTCAAAACTTTTTTGAACCAGCAGTTCAAAACTACCAGCTGTTCTGCAGGAGAAAGATGAGGCTTACTGCTCCCATAAAGATTTACAGCCTCAGAAACCCTGTACAGGGTCACTATGAGTCGGAACCGACTCCACGGCACACAACCACCAAGTGAGGGTTGGGAGTCCTACAGCAAAGTGGTCAAGTGGTTTAAAGCCACCAGCCACTCTATGGAGAAAGATGTGACAGTCTGCTTTGGTAAAAACGACAGCCTTGGGAACCCTCTGGGGCAGTTCTACTCTGGCCTGTAGGGCTGCCATCAGTGGGAATTGACTGGATGACAATGGATAATGGGTGGGAATTGGGGGCTCGGAGAAGAAAGGTTCTTAATTAGGGGCAGATGGAAGGTTCTGGGCCAGAGGGAAGACTTTGTACCTCCTCCACCCTGCACAGAGCAAACCTTCCGTAACCATGTGCTGCTGAATTAACAAGCAGCCCACCAGGTGGACAGGTGGCCCACAGCCACAGAGAAACTTACCTTCTGGACCGTGAAGGTTCTTATGATGTATTCTGCCAGGGGCTCTGTTTCAATCAGGGTGACTTTGATGTCTCCGTACACCTCAGTGTCATCTGGCCAGTATCGTACGCATTTCACCTACAGCCAAGTGAGACACAGACAAAGGATGGAGGGGGGCACCAGGTGGGGTATGTGAGCAGCTGGAATGGTTTCTCCCATTCCAGCACACCCCAGGGCAATGTCAGTGGAATGTCCGAGGGGGTCTCAGCCAGCCAGGAGCCAGCAAACTGGACAAGGTCAACCTCACTCCTGGGAGGAACAGCAGCCTTAGAGATGTAATACTAGTAGTAACTTCTTTTGAAAAGCTTCTTAATCATTTTCAAATCCATTTTTGTCCTAAGTGATCAAATAGAACTAGATGAGATAGGCATGTATTATGCCCATTTTACAGATGAAAATCATAGTGAAAGTTAGAAGTCGGGGGGACTTGTCCAAGGTCATGTGGCCAGCTTTCTACTTTTTGGCTGAGTCCTTTTTCTACTACGGTAGACAGGAGCAGCTGAGTGTTTTCAGCTGAGCAGAGATCAGAATAAAAGATGGGGAGTAGAGAGCAGGTGGAAGCAGAGGTGGGAGGGACAGTATTAAGAAGGGGAAATTACGGGCTGGGAGGAGAAAGGTTCTTCACTGGGGACCGGATGGAAGGTGTTGGGCCAAAGGAAAGACCTTGCAGCTTCTGCAACTGCTCTGAACAAGCCATCCCTCCTTTCGCTCCCTAAGGCACACGCGCAGGAGGAAAAGGAGACCATTGGTTTCCCCTTAAAAGAACAAAAGCATTACCATTCCGGGGGACGCTGTGCAGCCTAGAGTGGCATTTCCCACAGTGTGTTCCGCTGGGTGCTAACAGGTGTTAGGTAAAAAACAGGAAACAAAACAAACAGAAAAAAGGTTTTGTGGTCAAATGAGTTTGGGAAATGCTGGATTAAACAAAACTAAACAGAACCTTGCCTCAGACTACTCAGCTTCTTTAAGGTGCTAACGCTAATCAGTGTGATTTAGGATGTTCCAAAAGGGGCACAGCACATACAGCATTTCCCAAACGTATTTAACCATGGAACCCTCTTCTCACTAAGCCTCCTGCAGACTAGCATCCCATGGAACCCACTTAGGGAAACACTGGTAGAGCACAGAATGCAATGCCTGGCTCTAACATTCAGTAGCTCCGTAGCCTCCAGAAAGTGATGAAACCATTCTGAACCCTGTTGATGCTGTTAAGTGCCATTGAGTCAGTTCTGACTCATAGTTATTGTGTAGGGTTGCCAAGGAGCAGCTGGTGGGCTTGAACCGCCAGTCTAGTGATTAGCAGTCCAGTGTTTATCCTGCAGCATCACATCAGCACTTTGATTAGTGACAGTAACTAGTTACCATCAAGTAGATTCCAACTTACGGCAGCCCCATGTAGGTCAGAGTAGAACTGTTCTCAGAAGGTTCTCAATGGCTGAGTTTTAGGAAAGTATATGACCAGGGCTTCCTTCCAATGAGTCACTGGGTAGACTTTTAGTTCGTGTTAACATTAACTGTATTACCCAGGGTCTCCATAGTAAGCAGACAATAATAATAGTTTTGACTGCTTACAATATTTCAAGCGCTGGTGTAAACATACTTTGCTTGAATTACTTTATCACCTCAGTCGTCAAGTTGTTATTGTTCAGTGCTGTTGAGCCAGGTCTGACTCATAGCAACCCTGCATAAGATTACCAAGGAGTGGCTGATGGGTTTGAATGAAAGACTTTCTGGTTAGCAAGCCAGTGCTGATCCTACAATGCCACACCAGGACTCTACCTCAGTCTTAGGAGGTTGATATTATTAGTATGCCCATTTTACAGATGAGAAATCTGAAGCACAGGGAGGCTAAGAAACCTGCTCAAAATCCACTATTAGTAAGGCATGGTGCCAAGATGCAAACTTCAAAAAATTACCTAGTACTATCATAAAGAGCTCTGGTGGTGTAGGGGTTATGAGTCAGGCTGCTAACCTCAAGGTCTGCAGTTTGAAACTACCAGCCGTTCCATGGTAGAAATATGAGGCTTTCTGCTCCAGTAAAGATTTACAGCCTCCGGAACCCTATGCAGGGTTGTTATGAGTTGGAACCGACTCCACAGTACACTGCCACCACTACCACCCCTATTGTTATGAGACAAAATGAAGTGATGCCCATTAAGTATCCAGGATAGTGCTTAGCATATAGAAAGACTTTTTTGAGAGATTGCTCTCTTGTCCCCTCCCCAAATCCAAGAGAGATTCATGGTGTGTCCATCAAGGGCATCTACCTCAATGTGGGATATGTTGTAGGACATACTGAAATTTGTCTCTGGATTCTTGAATCCTGGATGGTAGTAGCTACAGCTTTGGCCTGGTATCATGAAACCAAGAGCACTAGTTCTGGCTTGGTGGCTTCCGGAGTCTCTCCAGCTTTCTGAGGGTGTTTCCTCATCTATAAAACTGGCAAGTAGGCCAGAGAAGACTGGACTCAAGAATAAAATCTCTCCTAGCGCCAAGTTTCTATTAGGCTATGAGATGTCCATACCCTTTTACTGGGTGATAACTGATGGTCCAGATTCTACTTTCCATCATCATGGTGGTCAGGGTTCTTCTCTATGGTTTCTTTGGGTCTTACTAGAGCAGAACTATGCCTGTCCACTCTTGAGTTTGCTTTGGAGATGTCCTTTCATTCTGCTGTTTGTGTACCCTGTCTTTATACCCAGCACCCACCCATCCACATGCCACAGCTTACCAAGTAGGCAACTGCAAGCTGGGAGTAGCAGTCCCATGTCTAAGCCCTAGGAATAGTTGAGGACCACATAGAATTGAGATAGAGAAGAAAGAGGGGACCTAGGTCCAACTTCTGAAGAATATGAAGATTTCGAGGTCAGAGGTGGAAGAGTAGCCAGCAAAGATCAAATGCTGCCGAGAGGCTGAGTACGATGAGTAGAAAGAGGTGGCTATTAGATTTGTCAACATGAAGGATGCTCGTGATATTGACAATCCCACTCTTAGTGGAATGGAGGGAATAAAAGAGAATGAGAATGAAGAATTCGAGTCTGTGTATGAGTCTTTAAAGTTTGACAGGCAAGTGTGACAAGAGGATGATTTTTGTTTGCCTGTTTTGTCGTTGTAAGGTGGAATGTACCGAGCATGTTTGTATGCTGAGGAGAACAATCTAACAATGAGAAAAAAACATTATTTTTTTTTTCAAGTGACAGGGACACTGAGAAAATTCTCGAGCAGAACCTGTGATTCAAAGCACTAGGCTTGCCTTTGAGAGGGAAGAACCACTTCTTCCTTTGTATGAGGTTGAGCCATAAGAAACGGCTGACATTCAATTTTATTGGTCAAGAAAAATCAGCCATTTCTCATAGTTCAACTTGATAGCAGAGGGGAAGAACGAGAAGATGATTGTAGATACAAGTAGGAGACAGATCTGTGGTGGAGAGATGAAGGAGTTCACCTCTCATGGCTTTAATTTCCTCAAAATATATGAGATGATGTCATCCACAAAGGGTGAGGGTGGAGAAGGAGATGAGGGGAGCTTGAAGGGGGAGGACAGTCTTCTAATGTAAAACAGGGATGATGATTTCTCTTGCACTCCCCGTATCCACTCAGGTTGCTGTGAGGATGAAACATTGACTGGGAGGCACTGAGCACAATGCTGAGACCAGAGAGATGCTCAATCCTGCAGTTCCAACATCCTATTCCCGGGAACTGCAGGAGAGGCTTACCCTGCCCACCTCCACCAGGTTGGTGACCATGACGATGCTGGCTGAGTTCTCCTGCCAAATCATTCTCCAAAAGTCCTTGACTGTCTCCTGCATTGGACCTGCCAACAGAGAAGGTGGTAGACATCAGAGGTTAGGGTGTGGAAGACAAGCAAGAGGCGATGGTTTCCTAGTTAGTCAAGACTCCCCAGGGATACATGGGAGTGAGTCTGGGGAATACTGGTTAGCACGTGGAGAATCTCAGGGCCTGAAGCATTCATTGGAAATGCTGACAGCCTTCCCTATGTCTTCCTCCTGGTCAGATGTCTTCCCCCAGCCCCACTTCCCCAAATCCATTACCTTAGTAGGACCATATTACTGGATGTGGCTTAAGGGAATTATAAAAAATGGGCTTGAGTCCCAGTGAAAGCCATGAAAGAAACTGGGATGGGGATGGTGATACAGCAGAGAGCCCAAACAGGAGATGCCTGATTTTGAGCATGACAAATCCTCGAGACATTTGTTTGGAACCTGAACTAAAAGGAAGGAGAAAGAAAAGACAAGTAGGAGTAGGAGATAGGATCTGACAGTCCAAAGCAATTTCCTTGGAAAACGGCTGTTGGATGTTTTATTCTCTCTTTCAGCATCCTGGACCTTTATCATTTGTAAAGTTCTGAAAGTAATATGTGTGTTTGATATAAAATACACACAACTTTGCATACTGTTTTGCTAATAAGTACCATATCTATCCTATACATTTCCCACACCCTTAAAGATTCTGACTAAGCAATCTATTTTTCATAGTCATGTAGTATTCTATAATAAGGAGGTACCACTCTACTTAATCAATCTTCCAATTGTTGGGCATTCAAGATTTTTCACTTTTTTCCCTATTATAGATAACACTGTGAAGGATATTTTTATACATAAATCAATGTCCATATATATAATTATCTACAGAATTTCTTCCCAGCAAGGCTTGAAAGGTATGATCATTTTTAAGTCTGCAGATAACATACTGCCAAATTGCTTTTCAGGGTTGATGACTGCATCTCTTTCTTGTGCTTGTAAGCATCAGGGAGACCAGACCCCCTCACCTCCCGCTCTGGATGGTGATGTTAGCAAAACAGGCCTGAGGCTGAGGCTTTGAGTCTGCCCTGCTTATATTTCTTTCTCCTGACCATTCCCTAGTGACCTGTCTCATTTATATTCTGTCCTCCTAGATGAGGGCTTTAGTTCTCATAAATATTTGTTTGTTGTTAAACGCCATTGAGTCATTTCCAACTCATAAGAGACCCTGTAGAGAGTTTCCAAAGAGCAGCTGGTGGGTTTGAATGGCTGACCTTGTGGTTCACAATCCAGTTCTGATCCTACAGTGCCATACTCCCATCCCCACCCCACCATGGTAAAGATTTACAGCCTCAGAAATCCTATACAGGGTTGTTATGAGTCAAAACATCAAAACTGACTTGATGACACTTAACAGTGACAACATAGCTGAACTAAGGAATCCTGATGGCTTAGTGGGTTAAGCATTGGACTGCTAATCACAAGGCTGGTAGTTCAAATCCACTAGCCTTTCCATGGGAGAAGGATGAGGTGGTCTACTTCTGTAAAAGTTTATGGATGAGTCAAAATCAACTTGATAGTGGTAGATTTTATGTTTTTGATTTATAGCTGAAATAAGAGTCTTAATGATACAGTGGGTTAAGTGTTGGGCTGCTAACCAAAAGAAATTGGCAGTTCAAATTCACCAGCCACTCCACAGGAGAAAGATTAGGCAGTCTGCTTCTGTAAAGATTAGTGGCTGTGTACTGTGGAGTCGGTTCCAACTCATAGCGACCCTGCACAGGGTTTCCGAGGCTGTAAATCTTTACAGGAGCAGAACTGCCTCATCTTTCTCCAGAGGAACAGCTGGTAGTTTTGAACTGCTGACCCTGTGGTTCACAGCCCAATTTGTAACAACGATGCTATCAGAGCTCCTTCGAAACCTGGTAGGACAGTTATACTCTGTCCTATTGTTAAGTGCCTCCATAAAGCACTTCACCGACTCTATGAGTAGGTTCTGACTCATAGCCATACTGTGTAGGTTTCCGAGAAGTGGCTTGTGAATTTGAACCACCAACCTTATGGTTCAAACCAAGTTTGCGGTCCAGTGTATTACCCCACAGCACCACACTAGGACTCCACTCTGTTCTGGTGGTGGTGGTATGTGCCATAGAGTAGATTCTGACTCACAGCCACCCTGTATAGTGTTTCCAAGGCTGTAAGTCTTTACAGGAGCAGAAAGCCTCATCTTTCTCCCATGGAACAGCTGATAGTTTTGAACTGCGGACCCTGAGCTTAGCAGCCGGACTCATAACCTCTATGCTACTGGTCCTAGAAGTTTGAAATGGCTTGATGGCAGTGGGTTTATAGCTGAACTTCTCCCCTCCTCCCCTCCTAAATGAACAAATAAACAATCTCAAGGGCCTCTTTGGGCTCTCCAGCCTTACCGTCTGTGGTTTCTAGCCTGTGGGAGGCTCATCCCTCTCCTCAGTAAGGGACAAGGACCCTGCGGTACACAGGAGTGTTGGGATGCCAGACACAAGAGGAGAGAACATGCAGTCTCTAGAGTGCCTTCTTCCCTAGAGCCCTTGAGATGTGGCTGAGTAGCAGAAGGAGGAGGGACACTTACCCTGGGTTGCAATGTAGTGCCGAGGTCGGTGGTAACCCTGAATAACAGAAGCAAAGTACAGTGAGTGGCTGCCAATCAAAGCTTGCAAGCAGCACAATATTAATTAGTTATCATCTCCCAACATTGGTTTCCTCATGGGCACAAATGGGAATACCATTAGCGATCTCCCAGAGAAGTGGAAAGGATTAAATAAGATCATGCATGCAAAATGCTTCATAACTCACTAAATGCTAACTCTGATTATACACTTAGTCCTGTGGAAGTCGGAACTTGAGTAAGGCAGGAACCTGACAGACGAGGAAAACTCAAATGCAGTGAAGACTGTCTCATTTTTCTGGGGTCTGCCAGTTTTCCGCCGTTGACATGTGCCCGCTTTTCTCTCAGTAGTTTTAGTGGAAAATGTAGTAAAACCTGTGAAAGACGGAGCCTGTGAAAGGCAAATATTAAAGAAGGAAAACTCAGGTATTTTCCACTAAGGTGAGAGTAATAGAAAAGTGGTAAGAATGTCAAAGGCAGAAGACTGGCAAGATGCAGAAAAACCAGGTAGTCCCGGGAAGTTCCGGCTCTGACAGGTCTCACCATAGTTACTTACATGGTACCCACACCGACTTGCCTGGATGCATACATTTCCGTGTGTGGATCATGGGACATGCCATTCTACTCTTCTTCCCCAGTGCTGTAGGATTTGGGAAATGGGTGAATATGTCTTTCAGGTGAGATTGGGGTACCATTTAATTTATAGTCTGGGAGACAAAACAACCTCTGAAGAAAATAGGTGTGGAAGATTCAGTGTGCTTGTAAGTCAATGGGTTGAAATTCAGAGTGGAGTTTGATGACCTGGGGTCTCTATTTTGTTCATTCCTGTGCCAACTCAGTCACTTGATATTCAACAGGTATTAGTAGAGCTCCTACGGCGATAGGCACGAGACAGGGAATACAAAAGTGGACAAGATGTAGATGGGCCCTGTCTTTTGACAACTTACAAACATCAACCAAATAATTACACAAATAAAGGCAAACATAGAATGGGATTCAGGCTACCCTGGGGAAGATTATGGGGCTTTATGGAGGCCAGTGAAGGAGGCCAGAGATAGTTCTCTGAGGAGTGGTCACTGAATTGGCATTTTCAACTTAGCCTGAACACTTCCACATCTGTAGTCTTACCATTTCATCCCTTCAGCAAATATTCCCAGTTTTCTTTCTGCCCTCCCAGTGCTCACTGGCTCTCTTCCTCTTCTTTTGGACCTTCAATTATGTTTCTACACAGGGCATTGTCCACCGTTCTTCATACTGGTCTTTTCCCAGTAAACTGAGTGGTTTGCTTCTGACTCCCCAGGGAGACCTTCCTGACTGGTCAGGTTCTTTCTACATTCTCTGCTTTACTTTTATTCAGCACACTCCCTGATGTGGCACTGTAGGATAAGTGCTGGACTGCTAACTGCACTAGTTGCAAGGTTGGCAGTTCAAATCCACCAGCTGCTCATGGAAATCCTGTATAGGAATGCTGCTAGTCCGAACTGACTTCACAGCATCCATCAACAACAGTGACCAAATAAGACGTCCTGGTGGTGCAATGGGTTCAGCAGTCACCTGTTACTGAAAGGCTGGTGATTTGAACCCACCAGCTGTTCCACATAAGAAAGATGAGACAGTCTGCTTCTGTCGAGACTTCCAGCCTTGGGAACCCCATGAAGCAGTTCTACGCTGCCCTATAGGGTGGCTATGAGTTGGAATTGATTCAGTGGCAGAGTTTGTTTGTTTGGTTTTTAGATCACCAAATGGTATACTAGTCTCTATTTACATGTGTTCTGTGTGTTTCTGCCCATTGAATCTGAGCTGTATGCATCTTGCTTATAGCTTTGTCCCCAGCACCCAGAAGACTCCCTGGACCATCAGCTTCAACAACTAGGTATTGAATAAATGGATCAATCCAAGCATTCATGCTGCGTTCCAGTCCCTATGCTGGATCTGAGTAAAGAAACCCTCCCTGACCTCCAAGAATCCATACAGGCCCCAAAGAGAAAACATTCTCACCATGAAACGCCTCAGCACTAGAGATAAAAGGGAATGCACTTCTCAACTGGGGTTCCTTTGGGAATTTGCCAAGAGCTGGTAAAGAAAACTTCCTAACCTTAAAAGAACTTTTGGTTCATTGAAGTCCCACCTACACAGCATGTAGATATACTACAAACCAGCACTGGGCCTACCTCCATCTGTCTATGAGCAACGGGAGAGAGGTTTGTATCCAAAACGCATTTATCTCACTCTGCACTCATGCATCTGTTACTTACTGGGGGCCCAGATATGATACTTATTTCCAGCTTGGTAATTTATAACAGATTCAAGTGGCCAATACATTCTCGGGTGTGCAAACAAACCAGCCAGCAGGATGGTTCAAACGGTAGCAGATCCACAGCCTCCAGAGGCATGCAGGGCTCACCCCATCTAGCTCATCATCCAAATGTGGATGAATGATTCTAGTATGGACAGTTAGGTCTTTGGAGAGCCTGGGAGGTTCTTGGCTGGGTTGAAGGTTAGGGCAATAGGAGTGAAGACCTAGACAGCTGTTTAGGTTGTGTCATTCCAGAAAACCCCATGGGACCCCAGGTCTTCTTGACTTCATAGAATATATAGTAAGGTTTGAAACTCATTTCCCACCCCCCATCTCCCACCCTATAGTGGTAACAGTGTGTTAGGAGGCACTTGCGTTGGGTATCTTCTCTTTATCCATCCATCTCCCAATTCTTCCCTTGAGTGCTTTGCTTTGTGCCCAGGGAAGTTGATTCTATGGACTATACCATGGGATCCTATGCCTTCTAGCTTCTAAGTTGGGTCTGGTCAATGGGGAGCAGATTTAGGAACTCAGAGGCCCAGAGGAGAGTGATGTCGGGCGTGTGTTTTTCTAGGTGTCCCCCTGCTAAATCACCATGTGTTGACTGTGTTGGTCTACCAGAGGTTTCAGCCCCTATCAGTCAGTCTTCTCCCTATTGTGACTCTCCTATCTTCCCTTTAGACCTAGGACTGGGATACAGCATTCCCCATTTGAGTAAGCCTCTGTTTCCTGTTGGAATCCAGACAGCTACTTTGTATGTGTTAACATTTTCTTGCAGGGTGGGATTATATTACCTCAGTTTACAGATATAAGAAAGACAAGCCATGGCATTTTCAGTAACCTCATATGCATGAGAAAATTGGACAGTGAATAAGGAAGGTTGCAGAAGAATTGATGCATTTGAATTTTGGTGCTGGTGAAGAATATTGAAAGTACCATGGCCTACCAGAAGAACAAGCAAATCCCTCTTGGAAGAAGTACAGCCAGAATGCTCCTTAGAAGCAAGGATGGAGACACCTTGTCTCCTGTACTTTAGACATGTTGTCAGGAGGGACCAGTCCCTGGAGAAAGACATCATGCTTGGTAAATTGGAGGGTCAGAAAAAAAGAGGAAAAGCCCCAATGTGATGGACGGACACAAGGGGCTGAAGCAACAATTTTGAGGATGCAGCAGTCTTTTGTTCCATTGTGCCTAGGTCACTATGAATCAGAACCAGCTCCAAGGCACCTAATAACAACAAGTAATTAAGGTCACAGAGCTAGTAAGCACAAAGGCCTGGTCTCAAGAGGCCCAACTAGCAGCAGATTCATGACTTGAGTCTCATTAGCCATTCGCTCTATGACTGAGATCCAGCAGTGGAGTCTATCATCACATATTGAGATAGCATCTGGCAGAGACTATTGGGCCTGTTTCCATAGTCTGCTTCTTAAGAGAGGTGGGGAAGGTTGTACTGTGTCCTAGGAGGGCAGAGGATTGCATTCCAGCTGTGTGACCTTGGGAAAGGCTCTTGGCCTTGGAGTCCTGGTTTCATATCTTTAAATGCTCCCCAAACCCACTGTAATGATAGAACATGATAGAAATGAGAGGCATTATTAGTATTGGTGTTGCAGGGATTCATTGCATTTAAGGCAATTTCATTTGTTGACCATAAAACACCAAAGTGCTTTTTGGCTCTGGTTTCAGCCAGACACTCACTCAGCTCTGGATTGAGTGTTTATCTTGGCAAGTGACCTTCATTGGGAATTTCTACTCAGATGACAAATACCACATACAGCAACTTAGGGATTGGCAGACCCCATGCAGGCTGCAGCCCTCGGGGTTGCCACATCCATCCAGCCATAGATAAAAGTCCAAGAGATGTGGTAAGAACCAATTCAATGTGGTTCAGCACGTGTCTACTGAGTCCCCACATTGTGCTGGGTCAACAGTGGTGTTCCCGAATTGGGGGAGGGGGACAGGAGAAAATACTGGACTGGGAGACTTTTGGCTTTGATTCCTATCCTGATGTTTCTGATGACCAGTTGCCTTAGGCAAACATTGCAATCAATCTATTAAACCCCAGCTTCCCCATCTGGAAAATAGGGGTGATAATACCTTCCTTAAAGGGTTCTTGAAGAGTGCTGGGGATAGCATAATCAGACCCTAGGTTGATCAGTGGCAGCCCCATTAAACTACCTCCAAATATAGTCAGTTTAACCCAGATGCTCTCCTTCCTCCTGAAAGTATATAGGAATATTAAGAACAATGTAGCATTTTAGGTATAGATAAATGAAGCCCGGTGCCTGAGATCTTGCTCACAAACAAAAGTTTACAAAGTGTACAGAGACAGCTTGGCTCCTTTCAGGAACCTTGCTTTATGTTATGTATCCTTAAGAAACCACACGTTGCTACTCTAGATCATTTAAGCCTAAAAGTAATATATAACAGCTTGATTGAACCTTTTTTCTTTAAAAATAAAAATGTTAGATTGTTAAGAAAAACTATGAAAATATCTTAAAAGTTATTCCTGTGAATCATTATGTCCTGTTTTGAATGATTAATCACATTTCAGTTCCGTATCCTGTCTTAATCACATCCTCCCTTTGTGACATCCTCCCTGAGCGAATTACATCCTTCCTTTGTAACAAATCCCTCCCTAAAAAAAGAGAATAAAAGGCTGAGGTAGAGTAAGTTCTGCATGCAATGCTATGCAATGCTATGCAATGCTGGGCAATGCTAGGCAATATATTTGCAGATCTGTCTACCTGTCAGCTTGCATCATATCTGTGTGTCTGTTTTTTTTGTATATATTTCGTCTCTCTCTTTCTCTATCACTTTCACCGCCAGATCTCCCTTCTTTGTGACACCCACACTTCCTTGTTGAGGCGGGACCCCAACATAGGACCTCTACAGAAGAGGTCCTAATAAACAGACACATTTTAACCCACTCATAATGGGGCCCAAGAATGACCTGTTGTTGTTGTTATCCTGTCACCTCAACTCCTAGCTGTGTGGTCCTGAACCAGTTACAGGATCTCATGGGCTTCAGGTTATTCTGACAGTATCAACAACTGCCTTGTGGTCATGGTGTTAGTTAAGAGAAATGATAAAGAAGCTCACGTAAAGCCTAGTCCTTAAGAGGTGGCCAGTAATTCTTGTTGTTGTTAAGTGCTATCGAGTCAGTTCCAACCCATAGTGACTCTGTACAGGGTTTCTGAGAAGTAGCTGGTGAGCTTGAACCACCGGCCTTACAGTGCAAATGGCTTTGTAGTCTAGTGCATTAACCCACAGCACCACATAATTCTTAGGTTACTGTAAGTCCTTCTTGCCTGGCTGTCTCTTACTCATCCTCTGAAACATATGAGGCATCACCTCCAGAAAACCCTCACCTCTATTCTCCATCCCCTGGTTTTGAATTTTCTTTATGTTCCAATAATTCCTACTTTGTGAAGGTCTTTTTCTGATGTGACTTCCTCAATGGACTGTGTCCCTTTGAAGTTTTAGACACATGGTCTTAAAGGTCTCTGGCATCCAGCAGAGGGTCTGTGCAGAGTTTGTGAAATGAATACTGGATGAATATGGGGAAACTGGAGGTGTGGATGGGTGGATGCTGGGCATGCTTCAGTCCAGACTAGGGACAAGTGATTAAGAACTGGCTATTACCTTGTGATCTTCCCCAGAAGGGCCACGGGCAACAGAGACTATGTAACTCTGGTCCCTGTTCTCAACCACTTCCTAAGGCCTTTGTGTTTGTCAGGGTCAAGTTGGGGAAACAGAAATCTAAGTCTTTCAGACAGAGTTAATTTAATACAGGAAATTGGTTATAGGTTAAAGCAGAGCTGAGATGCCAAATAGGAAGCAATGAAGTGACACAGGAATTAGCCCTACAAGGAAGGAGGCAAAGAACTTCCCTAAAACTAGCAGGATAATGGGAGAAAGACATTACCAGAGCAGCAAAGCTGGAGCCACGGAGGGCCTACATGAAAGAAGCTGGGACCACAGAAGGGATGGTACCATTTCTGTAGCTGCCGCCAAGAAAGAGAGAGGAGAAATACACACCAATCTCCCATCAGGCATGCCATGGGGAAAACTCAGCCAGGAAACTGACAGGGGGCCCTTGGGAATGCAGCCCCAAGGATCACACCACACACACCCCTGAAATGCAAAACAGAGCGGGGAAGGGCAAGGAACAGAGCTGAGGGAAACCAACAAATTGCCAGAATTGGGCTCGAAACATATATGTTGAATTAATGAAGTCACTGGGAGTCAGGAGGACCTTTGTGGATCTTTGTGGCCCTATTCCGTAGGGGCTTTGGGCTCCTGGATCAAATGTTGAGAAACCTGGCTCCATCAGTCTGGGATGTCCATGCATGCTGGTGGTTACGCTGTCCCTCTGTGAACTCTCACTTCCACGTGCACCCCTCTACCTCCTGGGTCCTGTTTACAGTCATCTCTCTTCTAAGTAGTCTTAGTACCTCTCATCGCTCTGATGTACTTGATTTACCCTGGATGGCACATAAATCAGCCAAAGCTCAGCTCTGAAACCATCATTTCCTTGATAAAATACTTTCAAGAGTTTCCTCTTGTCTATAATGGAAAGTCCAGCTTCCTAAATTGGACCATGGAAATCATCAGTGACTCAGCTCCAACTCTTCTTTTGACTCGTCCTCATTAGACAGTCTCTGCTTCCTTCAAATGTAGCCGCTACACGTTCTGTGCTTTCCAGCTCTACATTTTGCCTGTGCAAATCTTTCTAACCATCTTCCCTCGATTTCACTTCTAAGTTCTACTTGTGCCTGAAGCTTTAGCTCATATCACATGTGCTGTTCTGATGGAAGAAGTGATTGTTTCCCCACTTTTGAATCCCTGCAGCCTTTCATCTGAACTTACGGACACTTACCACGTTCTAGCCTACCCTGGACTTGATGTACAGCGCACAACTCATTTCCCTGCCAAAGTTTTCAAGGGTAGAGACCATGGTGTTTTTAGGATGCAGCATTCAGTAGGAGCTATTCCATTTTTGTTGCATGAATGGCTGTACCTTCATATGAATGAATGAATGCACCAACAGATAAACATAGAGATAAATGGGTAAATGAATAACACAGGTCATTGTCCTGGGAACCAGCAGACCAGGGAACTTGAGCCAGTATGAATACGGATGTAGCTTTAGACTTTGGATAATCAATGTGGGTTATTGATTATGTCCACTCTGGGCATGTTCCGGAGAGGCTACCTTCTGGGGAGAGGCAGGGGACAGCCATAGACCTAAAGCCTACTGAAGCCAACCCCAGCCCCATCCACTTACATCAATGTAGTTGGCGTTGATGTAGTCAGAGTGTGGGTCTCCGTCCAGCACCAGTAGCCTCACTCGGGAATGGTCATCTGCACAGAGAGTAAGTAGAAAGGAAGGGAATGGTTGATGGAAGGCCTCTGGGTGAGGAGACAACAACGTCTACCTATCCTTTATAGCTATTGTTACTGTTGTTAGCTGTCATCGAGATGGCCCCCCAATCATGGCCACCCCACCCACAGTGGAGTGAAACACTGCCCTGTCCCATGCCATCCCATGAGTAGCTACAAATTAGACTTTTGAGGTTTTGGGGATTTTCATTGGCTGAGTTTTATAGATCACTAGGTCTTTCATCCCAGTCTGTCTTAGTGTGGGAATGCCACTGGAAACTGCCTAGAACTTGAGCAACCTGCAAGCCTCCACAGATAGATGGGTGGCTGCTGTACATGAGGTACATTGGCTGGGATTGAACCCAGGCCTTCTGCATGGAAGAAGAGAATTCTACTGCAGCGCCACTGTTGCCCTAGATATTACATTACTTGGACCGAGACAGTCTTGTTTACCCTCAGCACTGCTCTCAGGAAGTTGAGGATCAGAGAGGTCACTGTGCCTTAAAAAAGAACATGTAAGTACTTCCTGTTTTTTCCACTTCCCTTTGATTCTGGTTTTATCATTTCCTACGGGTGTGAGGCACCTGCTTTTATAAGTCTCAGTGATTTTATTAGTAAAATGGGGAAACCTTCTCCCCAGGGACAATCTGAGAGAGACCACATGAAAACACTCAAGATATGATCATGGTGAATCTGAATTAATACACTCCATTTTCATCCTTGCTTTAAAAACGTCAAATTTACCTATTTTTCCACATGGGCACAAATTGCTTTTCTTTGGTCTCTGTTGCAAATAGATTGTCGGCCACATATTGTTATCAATACTATCATTAAAGTGAAGCTGACTGAATCGTGTAAAAGAGGTCATCAATAACTCAAAAATTGTGCTGCAAAGAGTACCTTTTCCAACCCAATCTAGGCATAAACAAGTTTGCGAGCTTTGCTTGATGACACACTCGCTTCAAATGACACCAAATGAAAACCATTTAAAAAAAAACAAAAAAACAATGAGCACAGCAGAAGATTCGGGATGATCTTTCAGATTGAATTAAAGAGAGCTCTGCTGCACATGGAGATCGAAAACAGGAGTCCTGGGGTGACACTGTGGGCTAATACGTCAGACGGCAAAGTCATTTGAACTGTAAAGTCGGTGGTTCAAGCTCACCAGCTGCTCCTTGGAAACCCTATACAGGGTCGCTACAGGTCAGAATCAACTCAAAGACACTTAACAACAATGACAAGATGGAAACAGCTTGGTTGGGGAGGAGAGGCTGCAAAGTCACTGTATCGACTAGCCTGGACCAACCACCTTCCTGGAGAGCAGGAGTGGAGTCCCCAGGAGGTAGGCTGGAGGACTTTGGGCATCCCAAAGGACTCCCAGGGGTGAGGGAGGCCATACCAACATATCCTATTAGACTTAAGGAGCACTTTGCAGTCTGCAAAGTACATGTATTGCTACAAACTATAACTTCCTTGAGGGCAAGACATTCTCTGTCTTAGTTCCTGTTCTATACACTGTATGCTCCAAATGTTTGGCATATGGCAGGTACTCAATAGGTACTTGGTGAACATACGCATAGATGAGCTCCTAAGAATCTTATAATGATCCTGTGAGCCCCGTGTTATGTATGAGGAAACTGAGGTCACATGACCTGCAATGGTGGAGTTTGGAAGAACAAAATTCTCTCAAGTCCAATTTTGGACCTGGATTCTTGCTTCCAAGAGGGCTTTAAGCAGCACAACAGAAGCCACTCAAAGTGTACACAGCAGAGAGAGAGCACTAGGTACTTGGTGCTGTAAGAAGGGAGAAGCCATGTAGCACTATGAAGGAACTCAAGATGACAGACAAGAGGGGGACGCTCCCTCCCCTAGGCTAGAGGGACAGAGGGAGGAAGTGGGGCTTCCAGAGCCCAGGAGTGGGGCCACCTGGTGGAAACTGGAAGTGCACTGGCCTCTCTGGGTGGAGCCGGAGCCTAAGAGGAGACTCCCCATTGCTCAAGAAGATGCCCACGATTGAGATGCCATGAAAACCCCAAACCAGCAGCTGTTGAGTGTCTTCTGTAACAGAGTAGAACTGCCTTGTAGGGGTTTTGTTTTGCTTTTTTTTTTTTTTGGCTGTAATCTTTCTGGAAGCAGGTCTCCAGGCTTTTCTTCTTTGGCACTGCTGGTTGGGTGTGAAATGCCAAGCTTTTGGTCAGCTTCTACCACCCACAGACTCATGACTGAGAGATTGTTGTTGTTAAGTGCTGTTGAGAAGTTCCCAAGGAGCAGCTAGTGAGTTTGAACCACTAATCTCATGACTGAAAGAGGGTGGGGGAAGAAAGACCTGAGCTTCTCCCTTACTCCCACCTTCCGATCTTCTACCAGTTCTTCACACTGGCCAGTCCAGCCAGAAGCCCGCTGACAAGAGAACCTGCAGGGTCCATTCACTGTGCTGCACAGAAGAGTAGGAGAAGGCAGGAATGGGTCTGAGGACACTCAAGGCCAGACCTGGCAGAGGAATCCACCTGAAAGCTATGCACTCACCACTGATTCATTCATGCATTTATGCAACAGTCATTGAGCATCTGCCACGTTCTGGGCCCTATGCTAGCTAGACTCTGGATGCCACTGTTCTTACTCATCATCAGGAGACTTTCAAGGGAAGAGACTGGAGGAAGTAGATGGAAATCTAAGGAATTTCTTTGAGAGGGGTGGTGAAGTGGAGGAGGAGTGTGAAGTTAACCTTTATCAAATTTATGGTAAATGCCAGAAATCTTACATACATTATCTCATTCACTCTGTATTCCTCAAAATAGCACTATGGTGCTGGTGGTGGTGATTGTCAGTCTTCACTCACAGCGACCCTGTATAGAATCTCTGAGGCTGTAAATCTTTAGAGGAGCAAAAAATCCCATCTTTCACCTGCAGAGCAGCAGGTAGATTCGAACTTCTGACCTTGTGGTTAGCTGCCCCAGGCATAACACACTATGCTACCAAGACTCCTTAAAATAGCATGATTATAATAAATCCATAATGAGGTAGTATTCTTCTTCACATTTCACACATGAAGAAATGAGCTCAGAGAAGTTGAGTAAGTTTCCTAAGTTGTACATTGTGTAAGTGGCAGAGTTTGTATTCAATTGGACGCCCCTGGGCCACAACCACCTCACAGTTAATATTTCTGGAGTATATGCAAATGGTCAGTCCCCAGTTCTTACAGTCTTCTATCCCAAGAATGAGGCTTCCTGAGGGACCTCACCGCGACCCAGGGGGTCATGTTTTGTTACAGTCAGTAATAGAAACAGCAAGCCTGCCTTAAAACATAAAATTTCATATTGCATTTTCACTCAGTGGTCTGACTAATGACTTATTGATTCAAAAATCTCCTTTATTTAATGAGAATTATGTCCACCCCCAGGGTCCCTAGCCTTGGGAAGGAAGATTCTGGTTTAGAATGTTGAAAGAGAATTTTCTTTAATACTTAAACATCTGAAAGCAAAGTGATTAAAAACAAAACAAAAAACAAAACCCACTCATTTCTTCTAGTTAAATACTTTTAAAGAGGAACGATGCCTGTGCGCTCCAGTTGATGATGTTTCTCAATCTCTTCTCTTCATTTTTTCATTACATCACACTGATCGCCTGTGCTTTTCCAAGGAGTCCTTGGGTAGCACAGCTAAGTGCTCAGCTACTAACTGAAAGCCTTGTGATTCAAACACACTCACAGGCACAGTGGAAGAAAGGACTGGCAATCTATTTCTGAAAACTCAGCCCTTGAAGACCCTATGGAATGCAGTTTTACTGTGACACACATGAGTTGCCATGAATTGGATCAACTTGAGGGAAACTGAGAAGGGGAAAAAAAAAAACTTGAGAAGCTGTTCCTTGAGGAAGAGCTTTTCTATCAGAGGAAGCTGCCAGAGTGAAGGGACAGACCCTAAGAAAGCAGCCCATTGGGGAGCTGCAAGCTTCTTCCAGTCCTGCGAGCAGAGAGCAAGGGGCCCATGACAGAGGAGGTGGGGAGATGCAAGCAACAGGGCTGGACTCTGCAAAGCATCCAAACACAGTTTCTCCATTCTAAGAGTCTGGCCAAATATTTTAGTAAGAAACAACCACAAACCACTCCCACGGCCATGATGGCAGGTAGTATAAACATTTAATAAGTGACCTGAGGGATGGAGATCAGTACTAGATCTGCATGTCAATCCTAGCTCCATCACTTAGCAAGGCATTTGATCTCTCTTAGCCTTGATGTCCTTAACAAAATGGAGCCAATATTATACAGCTCCCAGGATTAGATGAAAAAAATGCAGACATGGAAAGTGATGGTCCAGTGGTATCCAACAGGCGCTTCCTCAGTGGTGGTTCTGGGCTGGATGTGAGACAGACTGTGGCAGTGAGCTGATGGATAGAGTGGCTCAGAAACTTAACCCTCCTCATTTGCCCTTTTTCTGTACAACACACAAAATCATCTCTCTGAAGTAGCCAAGAGTTATTATTGTATGTGTTCATAAAGGGCAGAATTCAGCTGTAGGTCCACCATAAAGGCATTGCAAGGAATAACAGTGGCCTCCTGGTTTATTTATGCCCTGTGGGTGATGCTAATATTGTTCTATGTCCCCTTCTTCCTCTAACTTTATATAATTAGAAGGATAAAAAATTGTGTTTACTCACACGCACACGGAGAAAGATGGGGCGGCGAGCGATGAGAAGGAGTTTATAGGAGGTAATTTACAAGCAGCCCAGAACATTCATTATGTTCTATCTGCATTTTGCAAGCTTGAGAAACAGCTAATTTGGTATTCCTCGTTTGATATTCAAGACAAGGCGAGGAGTTAAGAAGAGTCATATGGAGGAGAAGCAACTTTGCCATGATGAGGTGAGAGGCAGGTGAAGGAGCCTTGCTCCACCTGGTTGTCAGCTGAGCTGGGCAGGAGCTGTCTTCCTGGGGAGACAGGTTTGGTGATGGCAGAGAGAAACTAAACCAAATCCTTTGGAGT